AACGCACGCCGCTGTGTGGACGGGCCGTTACTGTACGGAGGCTCAGTCACTGGTACATGTTGATCTACAAAGCCATGTTGGATAAACTACCTTCTTACATCTGCTCACAAATTGAAAGTAGCTATTGCCTGAGATCTCATGATGTGGTTTTATTAAATGTGCCAAGTGCTAGGACTGACTTAAGGAAAAAAGCTTTTAGATGCACAGCTCCACTAACTTGGAACAGTCTGCAAAAGGAATGGAAACTGAGCAATTTGGTTCCACTAAATGTTTTTAAAGCACGAATAGATGCTATCCAATCGGAAACTGTTGGAACCTGTAAATGTCACTAGCTATGTAAACTGTAGTAGTTGTAAGTATGCTTTATGATGTCCTTTTTGTTTCTGTTTTTTTATGTTTTATATCTATTCATGTGGAATCTACTTGCAGCTGGTCACCCTTGAAAAAGAGATCAATGATCTCAATGGGATTCACCTGCATAAATAAAGGTTTGAAATGAAATGAGATTAATGAGATTCTAGTGTCAAGCTGAATGAATGCAAAAGGTTATGGCTTGAAAAGCCTCCAGGATTCAGAGGCTTTTGCGCAATGCATGCTGGTAGATGTATGCACGGACTGAATTGCTCTATGGACAGATTTTGGTCGATATATAGCATGCACTGAGGAATTTATGGCTTCCTTCAACTACACTACACTATAAACAGTGATTCCACAAAAATGTTGGCGTATTTTCCTTTTTAGAAAGGTTATGTGCTTTTGTAGTAGAAATGATTTGTGACTATGTGTAAGAGGAAGCCTGACCCAGGACAGCTTGTTGTAGCAGGTGAACTCCCAGCAGGCCAGGTAGAGGGGACAGTGGTAGTCGTTCAGAACGATGTACGCAGCTTCTGGATCAGCAGCAAAATTAAACTCGGCACACACTGTAGTGTTTCCTCGAGCTGTGGAGAAACACACAGATTACACACTGAAGTACACAATTACATGATCATACAAAGGAAGATTAGGACCATTATAAGATAAAAGAACAATTCAAAAGTACATTAGCAGGGGAAGTAGGTCAAATTCTCCAAAAGACCTCAGAATTTCCAGGATTAAAGTTGTCAATTTATTTCCTGTCAACTGGGCGCTTCTTTACTGTAATGAGTGACGTCAATCTAACTTTGTGAAACAATGTAGTTCCTTAACATAATAAAGCACAATCATTTTCTCTTAAATGTGTTAATTTGATAGAGAATGTGTATGTTTATTTTGCTTATTAAGAATTTTATAATCTGAGTTTTTACTGAAAAATGTAACCTTTTAATCTCAGGGATTTGTTGTCCTCTGCTCAACCCCTCAGCTCTGTAATTATTGTTTTTCTACAATGTTCCTAATATGCCATCCCATTGTCCTATGTTCTACCACCAACCAGTGTGAACAAACTAGTAAATGATTTTACTGACATTCAGTGTTGCCTCCCATGATGTAGAGCGCTCTGAGTTTACTGGGCAGAGATGGATCCAGCCTCACAGCCAGAGCCAGGTTAGTGAGGGGAGCCGTGGCAACCAGAGACACCTGGGGGGGAATAAACACACACCATTAAGACCTCATAGAGGCACACATACAAACAAACAAAACACATATTCACACGTAATACATTTGTCATTATTGTTGGGTCTATAAAATGTCAGAAAATTATGAAACCTGTCCATCCCACATTCTTAAACTCCAAAGCTTTTTTTATTTCAAAGACATTCAGTTTAATGATGATATCTCACACACACACACGCACGCACGCACGCACGCACGCACGCACGCACGCACGCACGCACGCACGCACGCACGCACGCACACACCTGTCCTGGGTTCTGGTTGATGATCCGGATCATGGCGGACACGGCGCCCTCCTCCTGCAGACGGTCCAGTCCCGGGGCGTCGGGGTCCGGAGCGTCGCCCAGCCCGTCCTCTCCGTGGAAGTGTCCGGCACTCAGGCTGATCCCCAGGATCGGCTTCGCTGCTCCTTTAAACACTGGAATCTGTCTCATGACAAGAAGAACCCACAATGAAATATTATAACTGTTACATGTCTTTCAATCAGTTTGTTATTATAATGTAAAAAACGACAAGATATGATGATTTACACGATGAGAAAAATGAAAAAAGAGCTTTCCTGTATAATTAATTGTGTTTAATATAATAATAATATTCTGTCAGATGTTTCATTTGATATCTTTTCAAATCTAATAGCCAAAACCAGAGAACTTTCCTGCACTTTTATGTTTGTAAATCTTTTACATTTGCTGGATTTCAATGTAATTTTACCCTATTCAATTTCCCTTGTGTAACAAATGTACTATACAAATGAAGTTGCCTAGCCTTGAAACTTTTCCACTGAAGTTAACTGTCTTCATACTGCTTGTGTGCATTGGTCCAGTTCCTGCCTCTGGTTGTGTTGCTTGAGGAACCACAACTCATTGTCGGTCAGTTTTATAAACAGCACACATGACACACGTCATTTCCTCTCACACATTTACGATGGTCTGGAAACCCCTGTTCAATATTCCCCAGTTTACCGTGTCAAGATCATAAAATACCTACACAGAATAGAAAGCAGTGCTGCACCCACCTCGAGTTTATTGCATGCTTGCAGAACTCGCAGTGTGTTCTTACACACATTCTCCACCGTGGTGTTTCCATGCACACAGGTGACCCCCAGGACCTCCACGTTGGGGGCGGCCAGCGCCAACATGATGGCCTGAGCGTCGTCCACCCCACAGTCCACATCTAGCAGCAGCTTCTTACTCATCGTGGAGCCTGAGGAGCAAACACTTCAGTCAAATACACTACGACTCCTCTAGAACATGAGTAAACTGCAGATAATGTTTCCACTATATCAATGTTTCAGTAACATTTATGGTTGTTTAATTTAGAGGCCCTATTATGCTTTTGGGTGGATTTTCCTTTACTGTTTAGTGTTGTATAGGTTTTTGTGCAAGTAAATGGTCTGCAAAGGCTAAAATCCCCCCCCCCCCTTCCTCCCTCCCTCTGCCTGTAACACCTCCATTGGACTCCTTTGTTTACTTCCGGAACATTGTGACATCACTATGTAACACTTGCGCCTCTATTGGCTAGCGCTCAACACATTATAGGCTAAGGAGAGGGACATCTCTAAGCGGTTGACCAATCATAACAGAGCCAGCCAGCTAACCAATCAGAACAGACTGGGCTCTGGTTTCAGACAGAGGGTGAAAAAAGGTGCTGCAGCACAGGCAGTATGAGAAAAATAAAGAGCTTTTTGAACATTAAAGCATGGAGACATGTCCCAG